AGAGGGGTTCATACAGACACACTGACTGACTGGACACTCCAGTACATTAACACTGCACTGAGAGAGAGGGGTTCATACAGACACACTGACTGACAAAACTGTTATACCAGCTTGTGTTTGGCGGCAGCAGCTGTCAGTCTCTGCACAGGGAAGTTGGCGATTGGGTGAAGTGCCAGGGAGACCAAATGACCCCGGAAGTGGTTTCTGTAGAGGTCGCGGAGCAAGGGCTTGCCACACGCGGCTATGAGCATTTCAAGGAGGCGACTGGAGGTCTGGTCCTTCAGGAAGACCAGGAGGGGGCTGGGAAAGAGTCAATCAGACAATTATCAGCGCATGAGCGTTGACTGAAGTCATCACAAATCTCATGAACAATTCAGCTGCTACATCACAAACCAGTGTGACGATGCACAGCTTTCTATATCGCTATGTTAACTCATCTGGATATATCGATCTATATATATAGCTATATGTAATGCATGAACAAAAAGAAACACAGCTGCTGTGACGTACTGCTCTGAGCTGTCAGCTGCATCAACCAGCAGGGGGCGCTGTGCCGTCTCTCACCAGCGGTGCCACAGCCTGCCCCTTGTTCGGCGTCAGTAAGCACTCTGTTACGTTCTCACTATGTCCACACAGTCCTGGGTTTAATCAGGACCTCATGGTTTCTCCCAGCATTCCTGACAAAGACTGGCCTTCCATTGCTGTGCTCAAACAAGTGCATAATGAAGAACATCACTCAATCCAACATCCAGATATTTTTCCTGGTGTTGACCCGGACACATCTGTATATGGGCACACAATCTGTCCAGTTCGACTATGGGAACTGGACATAATCATCCCAACTGATGCGGTTCCGGAGGAGAGAGATGGAGAACACACCTCGTCCCAGGGGCAGCGCTGAGAGACGCCAAGTATCCCATGATGCCCTCTGTGAGGCGCTGGCAGAGCTCTGGCCTCTTCTTCTGAGAGACAGTGAGAACTGTCTGGAGCACCGGACAGGCCAGAGAGTGAGTGACAAACACTACAAGACAAAGAGAGGGGTTCATACAGACACACTGACTGACTGGACACTCCAGTACATTAACACTGCACTGAGAGAGAGGGGTTCATACAGACACACTGACTGACT